CTTTAGAATTATCGTCGCTATATGAGAGTGTTCTGCATAATTTGCAAACTGGTTCGAAATCACTTTCATCACTAGAAGAGATAGTCAGCATATCAGATCTATGTCCTGAAGATAATGATTCTTCACAAGTAAAATTAGTCTCAAATTCGCATGTTGATTTTTTCCCTTTGACAATATAATCAGTGATTAAATTAAACTTTGCGATGGATTTGCTATTTTTTTGTACAATTCCTGATATCCAGAAATGCAATTCTGAAGTTGAAACTTGAATGCTCGTTCTGAATTATCATCTTTTTCGTGTCAAAAATGGCTAAAATAGTTATTTAAAAAAATGCTTCTTGAAATAAAAACCGCATAAAAAGAGGACCGAGTGCATTCCATAATACCACCACAATATATTTTTTTTCAATACTTTGACATTTCAATTTCTCTCTTAGACAGATGTACGTATTTAGATACAACATGTGAAAAAAAATAACAATATTAGTTTACAAAAAAAAAATGTATATATATAAAGATATTTGCGAACACATGGGAAACATCGGAAACGCTCGACCTTCACACGGATTCGCAATTGGCACCTATCGCCTTTCGGCCAAAGTTAATTACTTGTCGTTCCCCTTTCGTCAAGATCGAATTTTTTTTTGCATCATTTTTGGTGCAGAAATACGCACAGGTTTTGTAAACTAAGTCTCACAATACACGACACGTAAATAGTGCGTAATATATACATTTCCATGACAACCGAAGTTTATTTGATAAGTATTTGACAAGTATCGTATTCTATTGTCTTTGCTGCCATTGTTTTTAAATAAATTGTTTCTTAGTTACCAGGCGCGTCCACCATTTTTGTAACTTGTCAATAGTTTATTAAGTATCAATTTGACAATTTTTGACAATTATCATGTAATATAGACGTTAGTTAGCATCCACCATTTTCGTGTGGTATATAAGATTTAGTTTACAACCAAACTATTATATGTAGATAGTTTTTTTTTTTGTTGTATACATATTTATGTACAATTTTTGTTGTGTATATAATAATGATTTGTTCCTGTTCGATCCCAGGCTTATTATTTGTTTTCTTTTGTTTTCTTTTTTTCTCTCTCTCTCTCTCTATCACACATACACGCACGTTGTGTCAGGATGTTCCGAACGGGACTCGCCTACCGCCAACCCTGCCCATAACCCCGCTTACGCTCTAGACCCGGCCGAGTTGGCCGAGGAGTTCTCACAGTCGAGTACCTTCGTAGGGTTCCAGAAGAGCGGGCGGATAACGCCTCCGGCCACGACAATCCCCCGCTTCCGAAAGTACAACGTCGAGGACTTCACCTTCCTCAAGGTCCTCGGCAAAGGTAGCTTCGGAAAGGTACGCCATCTCTCGATCGAATTTCACGTAACACCCAATTTGACTGACATTTGCCTTTTATTTCACTTTGTCGCAGGTACTGTTGGCAGAATTGAAGGACACCGAATACTATTACGCGATCAAATGCTTAAAGAAGGACGTCGTCCTCGAAGACGACGACGTCGAGTGCACGTTGATCGAGAGGAAAGTCCTGGCCTTGGGCACCAAACATCCTTACCTGTGTCATCTACTGTGCACCTTCCAAACTGAAGTAAGTTTCATATCATTAATACATTGACGACGGCATGACCCACCGGTGGGTCATTAATTATAAATAATAGTTTTGTTGCTATGTACGCCACTGATTTTGACTGAGATAACCTCAAATATCTTAAGTCAATTACAAACTTCAAACGCCAATACATTTCTTATATATTTTAATAATTCTT